CCCACAAGTTGGAAGAGGAGCTCTGGTGCAGAACTCCCCGCAGCTATTGACTCAGGCACATGAAAACAGCAGGGCTCCTAAGACCCAGCTCTTCACTAGATAACAAACAGTCATGGCAGGGCATTCCTGCAGAGCTGCGGGGTGACGGGGGTGGGTTGAGGACACATTGCTCCTGTCTGGAACAATAGTTCCAACTCACAAAGACAAAAGACATGACAGGAAATGCTCCTGAAAGTACCCTGATACCCCAGCAGAGCACCTGACAAGCAACACTCAAAATAGCAGCTGAAGGACCCAACAAGCAGCCACAACTCACAGCACAGTGAGGCTCCCAGTTCTATGTCTTCACCTTCCCTGCCAGGCTGTAACAACAACAAAACTGGGAACAGTGTCAGTCACTCAAGGCCTCTTAACTTTTCCTTTCTGAGGTTGGCTGCTGGAAGCCTCCACCCTCTTTCAGAGGCCCACAGTAGCCTTCTGAAGATCAGCATGGTGGGGGCTGGAAACTGCTGACCCCAAATGCTGAATCTGAAACACTAAATCCTGAGAACTGATTGAATCAGCACCCCTTTCTGCAGACCCTTATATGTCCTATTACCGTTCTAAAATAAGTAAGATAGCTTTTAGTATTTTCCCTGGGTCTATGTAGCCTTACCAGCAATCCATGACAGAGGAGTAATATTCTTTGGCCTCAGCCACCTGTTACATAGAGCCTGCCAGTCTCCTGGAGAAGTCAGAAGTCGATTAGGAATAATTAACAACACTTGTTAAACCAATGAAGCAAGTTTCACAAAGCCAAGAACCAGAACAAGGTGAATAGAGAGGACTGATAGTTCTCTAAGCAAATCACCCTAAATTAACTCCTAGGTAAGAAATTCCATCCCAGAACAAAGTAAAAAAAATTCACTAGGAAACAATATAAAAGGGCATACTTTGTTTTGGTAAAATGTGCATCTTTCTGCTCACTTGTGTCTATAGGACATTTTTTTCTTTTTTTTTTTTTCCATAAACAGTGACAGTGAAGGTGTTGAATTCACTCTCAAAGGGCTACAATGAACCCTCCAATGGAACGCCACCTACTACTCCAACAGGTGGTAAAGAACAGCTGAAAATATGCCCCTAATAAAAACAATACAAAATTGAAAAGGAGGTGACAGTGTTACAGGGCACCCCAGAGTGAACTGGGCCGCCTGTCTGTGGGGTCTCACCCACACGCTTAAAATTCATTTATATTGCAGGCGCACACAAAAGGGTCAAAAATTGGTTTATTTAAAAGAGAGGAAAAGAAAAGGAAGCAACAACTGGAATATCTTACCGGCTCGGCTGACTTGGAGCTCTGGTAACAAACTCACTGAAAGCTCTGAGTCATGCGGTCTGGAGAGCTATTTCCCAAGAGCTATTTCCCAAGAGAAAGAGAGATACCATTGGATGAAATGGCTCCCCATTTATCCCCCAGAGTCCCAGAATTCCTGCTTAGCTCCACCCTTGGGTCCTCACAGTTCTCTCCCTGGTACTGCGGGGAGTTGTAGTTTCCAATCACTGGAGTAGGGGTTGGAGTCCACAAGACTGCAGAGTTCCTTCAGGACATCCTATCCCCCCTAACAACAGGAGCACAGCACAAATGCCAGAACAAAAATCCATATATTAGGAAAGTGGAGTTACTGATGCTCTCTCTTGCCTCCTGTGCTAGCTGTATAGCTGCCATTGAGGCTTTGCTTTCCTCCCAGGTTTTGTTACCTACAAATATGCTAATAATGTGCTAATGCAAAAAGCCCTTGGGATCACCTATAATTGCAAACAACTGAACCAAGGGCCCAGCTAGAATGGGGCATCTGCTTATATAAATGCAAACATCTGGGCCTAAGATAGGACAAAAAGAGGAGAGAAGACAGTGAGTGAGAGCAAATGAAGAGATCATGAGGGCTGGGGGACAAAGGGGTTGCCAGCCTCCCAGACCCACTTCCTTCCAGCTTCCCTACTCAATTGCCCACTGGTCTGCCTGTGTACCCACTCCTCTGCTTCAGCCCTGAAGGCATGTCCAATCCACTGAGGGTCCCAAGATATTTCCATTTGCTCAAATCAATTGTGAATTTGCCCAGGCTCGGATGGTTGCCACTAAACAATATAAGGAGCATGCATTAGTAGTGCTGTAGAGCATAACAGAAAGAAATTCAGGGTTACAATACTATCAACACCGATGGAAGGTGTATGAAACAAAATAAATATAGAAACACTAAAGTTGGTTTTAAAATAAAGCTGAGGGCCTCAATAGCAGCAAAAATGAAGCAAAAGAGGAATTAGTGAGCTCTATAAAACACAGAGTAGAACAAGAAATCTCTGGAAAACACAGAGTAGAACAAGAAATCTCAGTGGAGAAGGATGTCCTGAACGAACTCTACAAATACAGGTTTTGTGGATTCCACCCCCACTCCAGTCACTGAAACTACAACTCCCAGAAACACTGAAGGGAGGACTGTGAGGACCCAAGGGCTGAGCTAAACAGCCATTTTGAGACTGTTGAGATATATACAGAGGAGTCATGTTGAGCACAGACTCTCTCTCCCTTGGACTCATGGTGGCTGGTCGCTTGGCTCTTGATCAGCTTTCAGTGTGCTATTGGTGTTCCACGTCGGTGGAATGGGTAGGACACTCTAGTTAACTTTTATCTCTCTTTTTCTGGGTTGTTCCTTTTCTTTCCCCTTGTAAATAAGCCCATTATTGGCCCTTTTTGTGTGTGCCTGCAGTGCAGTGCATTGAATCTTAAGCACAGAGATGAGGACCCACAGACAGGCAACCCAGTTCACATTGGGTTGCCTGTGACAGAAAGAGGAAAAAGAATTATCAAAATTTCATTTAAGAAAAGGAAAACTGTAAGAATTCTTTGGGACAACTTAAAGAGAAATACTATCCATATCATGGGGATCCCACTTTGAAAAGAAAAAAAGAATGTCATAGAAAACATATATAAAGAAATAATCACTGAAATCTATCTTGATCTGAGAAATAATCCAGAAGTTGTGATAAAAGAAGCCAAAGATTTATTTATATGACTCAAAATTGTCATTTTCTTTACTTGTTCTGCATGTACTTTGTTACATTTTTACTGCTTCTGTTTTGATTTATTAAATATTTTGTTTAGGCCTCTCTGGTGGACAATGGATTAAGTCTCAGCACTCTGAAGGTAGCCACAGCCACTGCAGCATGAGTTCAATCCCTGGCCAGGGAGCTGACCCACATGGCTCAGAAAACCTCTCCTGCCTCACCCACTGCTCCCCTCAGCAGTGTATTTCACTAGATCTACCTGTTCTGCTCCCGACTCTGTCTCTGGTGAATCCTCTTACCTCCCATCACCCCCAAACCTCTCACCTACACCATAGCTCTTGTATGCATAAATAAATAAATCTTAAAACAATATTTTATTTTTTTTATTCATAGTGTGCTTAATATTTTAAAGTTGTTGTTTGTGGCTTATAGCCTTCATATTGACTTACAACTTTCTAAATTCAAATGATACCATATTATTACATGTCTAATATTATATTTACAGCAGTATACTTTCATGTCTTCCTGGTCTTTGTGCAGTGGATGTATTATATTTAATTTTCTCCTCTGTCATAATTTTCAAACATGATTGTTATTAATTAATTAATTGTTATTAATTTTTGGTAAAAGAGTCTTTTCAAGCAATCAGAAGAAAACACTCTATAACTATCCATGAAAAACCAATTTTCAGTGTCCTTCAGTTTCTTTGATGAAATAGATCAAATTTCCATGGCTGCCATTTTCCTTCTGCCTATAGTTACTGCTTTTAACATATCATGTAGTATGGGCCTACTAGTAATGACTCCTCTGCTTGTTTATAAAGGAAAAATTTCCACTTAACCTTTGTGTCTGAAAAATACTTAATTCACTTAATCTCAATATGTTCTCACCTTATTCTGGTTTCCCTAGATTGCCATCATATTCACTTCACATTTTTTAGAGTTGTATTATGATTTATACTTATTTGTTTATTCTTATCTCAAACTTCCATTGCACTTAAAATACTTCTTAGCTTACTATCAATTTCAGCTTAACTATTCACCTTCAACATTTGAAAATAACATTGTCATTTTTCTATATTTTTATTGAGAAATGTATTTTGTGTAGTTTTTATTCCTTCGAATTTTTTTAGGCAGTGTTACTTAAACTAGGGTCCAACAACCAATGCCAATGATACAGGTAGGCTTACCAGTTTTTCTGAGACAAACATAAAAAGAGTACTATAAAATTTTTAGAGTAAATGGACAGAATATTTCAGGTTTATTGAATCTAATAATAAAAATAATTACCATTTCCAATTTTATGACTTCTGTTTTTTATTAACTTTGTTTTCCCGGAAGTTTATTATTTTTTTAAGTATCAGTCTTTGATATAGACATATTTATAGATACCAGACAGCAGACTGTTTAAGATTTTTTTAAGATTTATTTATTCATACAGAACTGGGGTAAAGGCCAGAGATGCAGAGGGTGAGAGGATTCACTAGGGGCAGAGTGGGGAGCAGAACAGGCAGATAGACAAAGTACATTGCTGAGGGGAGCAGCGGGCGGGTCAGGAGAGGTCTGCCAAGTCATGTGGATCTCCTCCGGGGGCAGGCGGGGATCGAAATCATGTGGAAGTGGCTTAAGCTTCTTAGTGCAGTGCTTTAACCCGCTGCGCCACCACGGAGGGCCCTAAGATATATTTCTTCTAAAAAAATTGATTTATTTACTTATACAGAACTGGTGTACAGGCCAGAGGTGCAGGGGCTTTGAGAGGATTCACCAGAGACAGAATGGGATGCAGAACAGGCTGACTAAGAAAGTACACTGCTGAGGGGAGCAAAACTCTGGTCATGGAGGCCAAACGAATTTCAAAGGCAAGTGGTTTCATGAACAGTGGACCTGCCAAGACTGGAGTCCTGGGGTTTACAGAGCAAGGGCAGCTGTCTTCATTACATAGGCTCTTCCACTAATTCACTATTTTGCATTTTTGGAAAGGTCTGTGGATCTAAGTTTGAAGTAAGGAGAGAGCTGCCCTTTGAAGGTAACCTTGGTGAAAGAGTAAATGTGGTTACCATCAGTCATGTTGTAGAAGGAAATGTCTTTATCTTCATAATCCAAGAAAACCACAATCTTCTGTGGACACACTTGTACCTCTGCACATTCTTCATGGGAAATGTCTTTTAGACAATAGGCGAGAACCCTATACTTATCCCCCTTTCTCTCCAAGATTCTAAACGTCTTTTCCGAAGCTTCAGTTTCTCCTCTTCTCTTTATGGGCTCCTCATAAACACCTAGAGTCCACTCTTCTGTGTTCTGAACATCCACCTCCCAATAAAATCTCCCTGAAGTGATGGCTTCCTGATTAAGTGTGATCAGGTTGCTGTCATCTTGTTTATTATTGAGAGCTGGCTCCAGGGTTCCCTTTTTGTCAGCATCTTTTGCCTCACGATTTACAGTCAAACTGACTGGAAAAGAAAAAAAGGAAAGAGCCAACTTTTACACTTATGAAATCTGTTCTACAGGTGACATCTTAAAGAAATGAGCAAATGTAATTGTAGTAGTAAAAAAAAAAAAGCCTCTCCTCTGACAAATGTGAAGTGTTTTGGCTGAGGCAGTGCTGGGAGTCAGAGGTGGGAAAGGTTGTGTTCTTACCTGGGTGCTATACCAAGTATCTCAGATTATCTTAAAATATTACCATCAGTGTTTCACAGAATGCCTGAGGAAGCCCCAAGCACTTTTTAATTTGAGAATAGTATTTTTCTCAATTCTCTACAAATTAAATATATCTTCAATAAGTAGTTGGGCCCATACGAACTGCTCTTAACTTAGGTAGGGTGTCTCCAGCTAAGGTACCATGTTAATTTTTGCTTCAGAATCAAATGGATGCCCCAGACAAGAAGTGTGGGCCAGTATAGAGACAATATATGGATGTGGAAACACACGCAGAATAGCTAATCTTAGAGCAGTTTCCAATTCCAGCTACTATTTCATGATCTCCATGTTCCTTCCTTTCTTTACCAAAATAATGGCGCCTCTCTTTTCATTGATCTCAGAGAACGAAAACAGGATGTCATGGGGCAGGTTTGAAGAGAGCCAAAAAGATGTAACACAACTCACCACATGTGAAATGCTCCTTTCTCCAGTCTGAAAAAGAACAACATAAATTGAGTCTGAGATAGAAACAGGGAGGGGAAAGGAGGCAAGGTATTTGCTTCCCTGGCTCATAGCTTTGTCCAGCACCCCTCACCCCCTCCTCTAAGGTCCTTAAGTTCTGGTAGCACCCAAAAGCTACAGGGCACCTGGCATGCTTCCTGGGCTCTCTCTCAGGTGATGAGCTAGTTCAGTCTGATTCTGGGGGAGGAAGCTTCTCCACCCTGAGCTGGGTTTGGGAGACACTGGGTCTACGGCTTTTCATTTTGTTTTACTTTGGAATTTCCAATCAGTAACCTTCTCAGAGTAGAACTTAAGCTTATGAGTAGGGCTCTTATACTGATCCTGTCATTTTGACCCTTATAATCAGATTTGTTGTTTATATATTTTCCCCCAGGACAGAAGATTTCTGCATGAAATCTCTGCTCCTCACCTCCACTGTTTCTGCCTGTGGCCATTTGTCTTATGATAGGAGCTGTGATTTTTATTTCAAGACAAGTATTCTCAGTGTATCTCACTGAATTGTCTTTTGACAGGAGGAAGATAAGGACAGCCATAATTATTAACTAGAACAGAGGAAACTGCTTAACCAAAAACTTTGACCCTGGGGGAGGAAACTTCTATCCTTATTAAAGCACTTAAGTTGTGAGCAATTGCCAGTGCACATTAAGTGCCACAAGGCAGAGGTAAGGGCTTCCTGAGCCACCAACATCCTGCACAATGTCTGACATATAGAAATTGCACACATATATGTTCAAGAAATGACCTAGTATGTTTCTGAGGCCAAACACTATTTTACACACATACAAACACACACTTATAAAGCCATGCAATATATTAGCACAAATATTAGAAGGTATAAAGATAGTGATTTCTCCCTCCATCAAGTAAAGTTCCATTCATTTTTACAAATGATATTAAAATATTTTGAAAAATAATTTTTCAAAGCTTGTCAAAAATAAATGTATTTCCCTGTAGATTGGATTTTACTTACTTTAAGTTGAATGTAAGTAAAATCATAGTTGCTATTTTTTTTAAAGATTTATTTATTTGTGCATACAGAACTGGGGTACAGGCCAGAGGCTCAGGGGCTGCGAGAGGCTTCACCAGAGACAGTGGGGAGCAGAATAGGCAGATCGATGAAGTACACTGCTGAGGGGAGCAGCAGGCGGGCCAGGAGAGGTCTGCCACGCCATGTGGTCACCGCCGGGGCAGGCGGGAATCGAACTCATGCGGAAGCGGCTTTAGATTCTCAGTGCAGTGCTTTAACCCGCTGCGCCACCAGGGAGGGCTGAGCTATATTTTTAAATATAAAATACAATACATTCTGTTTCTTAGACCTTATTTACAGCACAGAAATACTGCTTTAACAAGATATTTTTCATTCTTCTTAAATTCAAAATCACTCAGAGTTCCTTCCCTTCCTGTTTCACCATGGATGGGATAACAATTTGTGTTGAGCTTTATCTTGGCCATGTGGTGGAATTTACCAGTTAGTGATTTATTTTTTCTTTATCCTGAGATCTGAAAAATATTTGATCATTTGAGCCTCTAAGTACACATAGTGTATATTAGGACAGCCTGGGCAGGAGCACAGGGGGGCCAGAAGGGCACCCTGACCTTGGCCTGTTGCTACTACCCAGGAGGAGGCAGATGTCAGGACCACAGGACCCCACCTGAATTCCTGCTTATGCAGATGGAGGATCACTTGGGCCCTGACTTCCTCCTCTCTACATCTCACCTTGGCTGTTCTGAGCTATGACAACCATCCCTCCCCGTTACAAGCCTAGTGTATGAATTCCCTCCTTGCACTCCCTTGGAGTCCCATCCAGCAGCTGGCCCAATACATTTCTCTTTGCTAAGACCACTTGTGTGGGCTCCTTTCAGCAACACCTTACAGTAGGAACTAAAGATTAGTACCAACTAAGTCTTTGCAATTTGCAAGAGGATGTGTGTGTGTGTGTGTGTGTGTGTTATGCCCACAATACGAGAGGCACATGGCAATATCTAGGCCAGAGAAGAGAGTTCTTACCAGGGTATATGAGAGCCTTCTTCCAATCTAAAATAGAAAAAAATCCAGGTAAGATAAGTAAAACAGTAATCTAGGCCCACATTCCTCTCCTGTCCACTTATCTTTCTTCCACTGGTATCATTAAATCTTGTTGACTTTTCCTCTAATTAAAAGTGCTGAGGTCAGGCCATCAAGTGGTGTGGGAAACCCAGAGCCTCTTACCTGCATCATATAGTGCCTTCCGCCGATCTGAAAGAAACAACATTCAGTGAGGGGCTCAGGACAGATGAGGAAAGAGAATATATTCCACACAGAGAATAAAAGGTACAAGACTTACCATACTCTTCCTTGAGTTTTCCTGTAAAAAGACATAAAAGTCATCAAATTGGGATTTTGCTCTCCCTAAGTTTGGTCAGTAGTTAAATTCAGTGAGAACTCCTGGGTCCCACAGTGAAGTAAATGAAAAAGACCAGCCCACGTGTGGTCTCAAATAATGAGTGCTAGGATTACATGGAGGAGCTATGGGGCCATAGAGGAAGGCCCAAGTGTCAGGGGAGTATGTTATTTCTAGGTGTTTTTGCAACCTATGAATGATGAACAAATAGAAGATATGAAAATACATTTTTACATAGAGAAATAGCAGCACAGGTTGAGGTACTGAGGTTCAGAAGACCACAGTATGCCCTTAGGGGCCCCACTTTGACAATTCATGACCACTGTCCACAAATCATTTCCCCATCCCCATCATCAGTTCCCCACCATCCCCTCAACCCCCTCAACACACACACATGCTCTTGGATCTCCTTCCACAGGACTCCCAGTACTGTGGAATTCTTGACCCCTATGTTCTTTTTGTGGTCCTTTGGCAGCTCTCAGTTTCCCAAACTACACTCTCCACAACCTGTACCCCCAATTTTTCCCTGAATCTCTATCCTGTTGTCCCAATTTACCTCTCTTCTGAAGGGCCTCTTCTTTTTCCTTCTTCATCTTCTCCCTTTCCGCAAATTCGGTCTGTCTTTTCTTTATTGCTCCCTCTTTGGCCTGGTGTTTTCTCCAGCCAACGAAGCTGACCCCCGAGAGGAAAAACAGCAGCACAGGGACTATCCCCAGCGTGGCCGCCTTCCATGGACACATCCTGGGGAAGAAGGGCTCTGACAGGGGATGTGGAGACACGGTGAGGACCCCCACTCTTTCCGGGTTTCCCTTCTCTTTCTCCCCTCATCCCTTCCCTAACTACACACCCCCCAACTCTGCCTTGAGGTCTGGACCTCACTGACCTGGGAGGAAAATGGCTGAAGCTCTCTTCTGGCTAGAGAGGGGGTTCTGGATGGAGCAGGTCACATTGTTCAGGGAGCTGTCTGTGACAATGACAGATGACTCCACTTGGAAGAGCCCATCTTTATCTTCAGTGTGAGATTCAGAGAAAGTTTCCAGCTTTGCTCCAGCTTTGGTCATCCATTGTACACTGGGTTTTGGAAACCAGCCACCTGAGGAGCATAGGACTCGAATCCCACTTTCCGTGGGCCCAGTCATGTGAACTTGAGGGTTGGATCCCAAACCTGAGGAGAGAAGGTATGTTCCTGAGACCTTCAGTCCCCAGGGCTCAGGTGTCCCTGAGACCGGAGGCTGAACTCCCCTTCACAAGACTGGTGAATAAACTGAAGCAGAAGTCAGAAAACTGCTCTCATCAACATTAGCTACATAGTGATTTCAGTTTTGAATTCAGCTTAGTCATTTCCTTACACCCAGACTAAGAGAACTCTTGTGCCAAACTGAGAGGACAGAGAAAAACAAAACTATAAAGAGTTTAATGCTATTAGTTGTTTTTTCTCTCCTGATTGGACAAAAGCTTTTACTTAATGTGCTGATACCAATTTGATTTAATACTAATCAATTAGCTACCAGGTCTTTAAAGAGTTCAGAATATCTTCAGGAACATTGCCCTTTCGATGTTTAAAAACAAATAGAATATGTATCCTTATCCTTACTAGACATGTAGAAAATTTATACTCCACAAGGTAAAGCAGTAGCATATCAATATTTAGAGAGTGACAAAAAATGTCAGACTAGAATGTAGATGTCCTGACCTTTCTCTTCACCTGACATCATGACAGACCCTGTGTCAAGCTACGCACCTATAACTTGCAGCTGCACGGTGACCTCTCCAGACTGGGAACCATCCTTAAACTGACACTGGTACTGGCCGTCGTCAGAGGACCGCACCTGCTGGATGAGCAGGGACGCATCCCCCTTGTCGATGGAGGTGCCCACCAGCTCAGTCCTGCCACGATACTCCAGCATTTGCTCCCCGCCTTGCTCCTGCCTGTTCTTGTACATGAGCACAACCTGGGAGGGCTGGTTGCGGTACCACAGGATGTGCATGTGGGCTGCGTTCTGCTCAGGTACCAGCTGGCAGGGAAGACTGGCATCTGCCCCCAATAGGACCCTGACGGGCTGCGTTGGTCCCTTCACAGAAAACTCTGATACTGCAAGAAAGCCACACAGATTAGAGGAGTGAAATGGAGGATACAGGTACCCGTCTTTATTTAGGAACCCAAACATATGTCGTCTTTATTTGTATTATTTTACCCAAAAAAGTTATCTATAATCATTTCATATATGTAACTTCTTCAACTTTATTCCCCAGAATCAGCAATTCTTAATTTTGCATTTATTTATTCATTTTTAGATTTTATTTATTCACATATACAAGAGCTGGGGGACAGGCCAGAGATGTGTGGGTGAGACAATTCACCAAAAACAAAATGGGAAACAGAATAGGGAAATCTTCTGAAATACACTGCTGAGGGGAGCAGTGGGCAAGACAGGAGAGGTCTGCTGCCGGGGAATTGAACTGGTGCTGCAAAAACTACAGAGAGCTTTATAATGCTGCACTTTAACCACTGTACAGCCAGGGAGGGCCCTCATTTTGCATTTTAAAAGACACTTTCTTTATTTTGGGTTATTTTTCCCCCTCTTTTTTTATTTTTAATTGAGGTAATATCTGGATACGCTCATCAGCTATTATAACCATGAAGGAAGGACTCATATCCTGAAAAGAATTCATGATTTGTCCAAGGTCATCACCAGAGAGAGTTCAGGAATATATATCTCGATTCTTTTCACTGAATTAAGTTTTTTGGCACTGTGAACTTTAACAGTTGGAACCACCCACAATCAATAAATATCTAGAGCAACATTGTAGCAATGGGCTTTATAATGTCTTCCCCAAGAAGCTATGGGTGTTGATAAGAAGGGGACCTGACACTGCAATCTTCTTGGCCTCAGCAGTCAGTTTCTCCAGAATATGAAACCTTTTGGGATGTGGTAAACTGTGAGATGACTGATCAACTGTACTTTTTTTTTTAAGATTTATTTATTTAGGGCCTTCCCATGCACCCACAAACCCCCCCCCCCTTCCGCCGTGCAGAATGAAGTACTGCAAGTGAGCCACAGCTGCTTCAGTGAGAATTCTATCCCTAACCGCTGAGGTGATCCACATGGCATGGGAGACCTCTCCTGTCTCACCGGCTGCTGAGCAGCTTATCTCATCGATCTGCCTGTTCTGCCTTCCACTCTGTCTCTGGTGAATCCTCTCACCACCTCTGCACCTCTGGCTTATATCCCAGTCCTGTATTCATAAATGAATAAATATTTTCAAAAGATTTATTTATTTTTGCACGAATAAATAAAAATATTTATTCATACATGAATAAATCTTAAAAAAAAAAGATTTATTTATTTATACAGAACTGGGATACAGGCCAGAGGTACAGGGCGATGAGAGGCTTCACCAGAGACAGAGTGGGGAGCAGAACAGGCAGATGGATGAAGTGCATTGCTGAGGGGAGCAGTGGGTGGGTCAGAAGTCTGCTAACCATGTGGGTCAGCTCCAGGGCCCAAGATAGTACTGGTACTGAAGCGGCTGCGGCCATCTTGTAGTGCTGTGTCCTAACCAGTTGTGCCACAGGGAGGGCCCTCAACTGTACTTTTTATATTAAAAGATCCATTGAAATCAAGGCAAATTTAAGAATATTAATAATAATAATAACATGAGGGAGAACACTCACCTGCTGTGTACCAGGTACACACCTGGAGAAGGAGGAGGAGGAGAAAACCAATAGGAGAGACTACAGAAAGAGCCGCCATTTCAGAGCATAAAGTTAAGCTCCGGAAACAGGAAATATTCACTCTGAGGAGGAGCTACTCTGTAGGAGAAGAAATGAAGAAGAAAGCCATCAAAGTGAAAGTGGTAAGAAAAAAATCCCCTATTGAAAGATTTACTTAAATACAGTTATTTGAACATTTTTCCTCAGAGTGGAAAGTCTTTTCCTTAAGACAAACATGACCAGTTCCCAGTCACTTTCCATGAGTCTTCCATCCTTTTCTTTCTGAAACCAACAGCAGGTATAGAAAACTTCAAACCACTCTCCTGTGTCTTGTGTCCTGTGTCTGTTCATCTAAAGCTGCCCTCCCCTTTAGGCTTTCATAAAACTGAAAAGACTGAGTTTGATACCAAGAAATGAAAGCATTTATAAAATTAGTCTGTACCTCCTCTTGCATTCGTTCATTCACTCATGCAGTTATCATTCACTCAAGCAGTTATTTATCAAGTTATCTTGTTGGACGGCAACTCTTGTGGCTTAGCTCCCCAAAGGAAGGCAGTTTGCCCACCATGGAACAGCATAGCTCCCATCCGTCTTTTCTTCAGCACCCAGATGTCCCACAGACACATGCACATGGACACACATTTCTCTCTCTTACCATTCAATCTGAGTCAGGACAGAGGTGTCCGGGAAGCTCTTGGTCTCCTTGGTACACCTGCAAGTTCCTGCTGGAGAAACAGCCCCTGGTTGATCTTGTGGTCAGTCTCCAAGCAGGGCTCAGCTCAGATCCTAGGAGCAACAGGTTTACCCATCCCTAGATAGAAAAAAATTCTTAAGAAGAGGGGGAAATGAGAGCCACTAGCACTGAATGCGCCTCCTAGAACCGTCTAACTAGAAAAGCATAGCCAGCCTCTTCTACTGATACTGAAAGTGAAAGAAATGAAGGTCAGGCAAGGGGGCCTTTCAACTGGGCTGAGGCTGATAGAAACTAAATTGTCTTTACATGAAATGCTGAGAGTAGCTCTCTCCTGCCACTTACAAAAGGCTGAAGTCACATTTTCAGAAAAGGAATCATTTTCCTATATAATATTCACATCTGATGGTCATCCTAATGTTCAACTCAGTAAGTTAACTTATTTAGAAAGAAAACCAAAGAATGCTTCCTCCTACCACATCGCTATTGACCTCAGAAGTCACACACAGCTTGTGAAGAGGGAAGAAAATGTTTTGAAAATGAAGGGCTCTGAGTGCCAAGAAACTTAGAGCTCCCCAAAGTAGGAGTGGTGTAATAACACAACTACACAGTGACAGACACAAAATGTGCTCAAAAGGCATTTTCTTTCCATTTTGAATTATTCCCAAGTTTATATGCCACAGAAGGTTGATAGCTAGTGAGGGAGAAAAAGAACAATTGCATAAATATTACTGTAAGTGTCGCAGTCTAAAAAAAGGATGCCTACATTCTAAGCATTTTATAGAGTGCCTAGAGTGGGGTGGATACAACTTTTTAAGAAGTCCAATATATTGATTAGTATTTTGCATACAATAAAATTCATGGTTTTGAAAAAAATACATTTCCATGAGTTCCACAAATGCTTACACACATGGAACCACCACCATCATCAAACTATCGAATTACTTCCAACTCTTAAAATAACTAGTGTCAATAAATCCATTCCAAGGAAAGCAAACTTCTGATTAAAAATCAGGATACCTTAATCTTATCTAGTTCAACATTTCAAAAAAAAAAAAGGAAAAAGGAATCATATATCTTGATGCTTTTCAGTTAAAATTGTTTTTGGAGATTCAGCCACATTGTGTGGTCCCACTGCTGTGTATTATCGCCTTGCTTGAAATGGCACAATCTATGCCTGGGTCCCCACTCTCTGCCTCATGCATAGCTTCCTCTTTCCACCCAAGCCCTTCCACAGCCTGCTGGACAGCCCTCCTTGCAGACCATCTTTTCTCACCTGGGCTCTGACACCCACCTGATAGTTTAGGTATGAGTGGTGGGGAATGGGAGGGAAAACCGAAGAAGGAAAGGAGGAGTTGAAGATACCACTTGTCTCTTCTGTTTACTTTGAAATCTGTGATACATGTTTGTGTGTGTAGTCTATTCCAGAATCTGAATACATATGCAAATACATTTACAATATAGTGGGGAAATTTTTGAAAAAGCCATGTACATTTCTTACATATTTTCTGCAATAATAAGTTTTAAGAATGAAGTCAGTTAATTTGTTGAGAGTATTTGGAAGGAATTAGACTGTGAACATACTGATATTTTGTGTGTTTGAGAGCTACAGAGAGAAATCTACAAGATACTGATTTCAATTGAAAATTATGAAAATTATGATTCTGTATATAAAGAAATACAAAATCATTTTTGGCTTTTACTGTTAAGTTGTATGAGTTGTTCATATATTTGCATAGTAACCCCTGACAGACATATGATTTGCCAATATCTTATCCAGTTTGTCAATTTGCATTTTTAATTTCATTCCTGGTTTCTATCATTGTGTAGACCTTTTAATTTTTTTAATTTATTTATTTATGCATACAAGAACTGGGGTACAGGCCAGAGGTGCAGGGTGTAAGAGGATTCATCAGAGACAGAATGGGAAGCAGGATAGGCAGATGGATTGAAATACACTGCTGAGGAGAGTAGTGGGTGGGTCAGGAGAGATCTGCCACGCCATGTGGGTCAGCTCCCTGGCCCTCGCTGTGGATCACTCATGCTGTAGTGGCTGCGGATTGTTTTGTAGTGCTGTTCTTTAACCCATTGTGCCACCAGGGAACGTCCCTGACCTTTTAATTTTGATGTAGTCCTGTTTGTTTACTTTCGCCCTGCTTCTCTTTTCTTTGGGCTCAAATCTCCAAAGATGTATCTCTAAAGTCAATGACAAGGGGCTTCTTAACTTTGTTTTTTGTATGTGTTTTTATAGTTTCAATTCTCATATTGTTAGTTAGTCCATTTTGAACTAGTTTTTGTGCTTGAAATAAGAGAGTTGTTTTAGTTTCACTTTTATTTTTGCAAGTAACTGTCCATTTTTCCAACACCATTTATTGAAAATACTTTCTTCATATTTCTCCAGTGTATGTTTTTGTTGCATATTAGCTGTCTATAATATGTGTGGCTTATTCCTGGTCTCGCAATTCTTTCCCATCCATGTGCAGGTCTGGTTTTTGTTTTTTGTTTTTTGCACTAGCACCCTGCTGTATAATTATTATTGATTTGAGTCAAGGAGGTGATACCTCTGTTTTTGTTCTTTTTTTTTTTTTTCCAGGATTGCTTTGGCTGTTGGAGGTCTTTTCTATTAGAATAGATATAGCTGAAGATCAAAATATTGAACTAGAAAATGGAATTCCTGGTTTATCCCAGAATAAATTAAATTAAATATAAGAGACAAAGCTTAGGAAACATAAGTTGAGCTAACCATAATAGACCTAGAACATAAAAATTTATCAATCAATAATATTATTTCCAGAATTGAGAAAAAGGAAATCGGCGGCAAAAATTATGTCCCTGGATTGAAAGAGCACTTCATAAAAAGTTGGATGATTAGAGGGAAAACTAGGCACTTATACAAGAATTTTTACAAAGTTTTAACAATCAAACAAAAATCTCAGTTTCCAGAGTCCAAAAAAATGTGTTTTGTACAGAAAAAAATCAGATTCTATCATATACCTTTTCACTCAACATGCATTGCTAGAAAATAATTGAATGTGGTCTTTACATTTCTGAATGAAAGCTAGAATACTTGAGCAGCAAAACTAACAGTTATGTGCAAGGGCAAATAAAGAAAGTTCTGGAAGTTTTATCACACATCTCTTAAATTAAGAGTGAAGGTTACAGGTTTGAATGAGGAGCTGGGAGAAGGTGAAACTACTTCTGGGAGACAGCCCGTGTTCTGTGCATGCCTGCCTGTGGGGGCTGTGTTTGAACTAAGGTGGTAGGGTTAACAGATGTCTGTAGAAATCAACCACCTGGTAATAAGGGGTGTACCTGCTGACTTGGCCTATTTTCTTCTTTTTGGGGTAGCCTCTTCCAAAACAGCAGCTGTCCTAGAGAAGTTGAGTTTCTTCAGATTTGGTATTTGGTGTTTGTTTATTTATTTAGACAGACTTAAGAAAGATTTAATGCTTCAATCATAATGGTGGAAGCATTCCATACCTATCATATTGGTTTATTCTGAGAATCCATCTTCATTAGCTGATCTGGGTTTGTATTATCCAAAATTTAGAGAAAGAGGGCCTCCCTAGTGGCTTAAATGTTAAAATCTCAGAGCTATCAAGCTATTGGGAGCCACTGTGGCATGAGTTTGATCCTTGGCCTGCGAGCTGTCCCATGTAGGGCACAGCAGACCTCTCCTGTCTCACCTACTGCTCCCCTCAGCAGTAGGTGTATTTCATTAAATCCTCCTGTTCTATTGCCCACTTTGCCTCTGGTGAATCCTCTTACTCTCCATACCTCTGGCCTATTCTCAGGTTCTTGTATGCATGAATAAAAATAAATCTTTCTTAAAAAACAAAATTTAGAGAAATTTTGAACCTCACCAAGTCATAACTTAAAATATTTGAAATAGCACAGTTATGTTTTTTTTTTAAATCTCCCTATCCCTAACTTGACTTCTGCTCTGTAATTGTTCTGTTCATTTCTGATTAATTGTGATTATAAATTGATTTTTGAGTTCCCAACTGATTTTACATTTTTAATCCTGCTATTTGTTATAAACAATATGCAATCCATAGAAGTAAGGCATTTTTAAAAGGTGAAATATTTATGCAATCTGAAGAGAAACCAGAGTATAAGAAGTAAGACTTTTTTTTTTAAGGTTTATTTGTTCATACAGAACTGGGGTACAGGCTAGAGGTGCAGTGGCAGTGACAGGATTCACCAGACACTGAGTGGGGAGCAGAACAGGCAGATCATGAAGTACACTGCTGAGGAGAGCAGTGGGCAGGTCAGGAGAGGTCTGCCACACCATGTGGTCACCTCCGGTGCAGGAGGGGATCGAACTCATGCAGAAGTGGCTTTGGCTTCTTAGTCCTGTGCTTTAACCCGCTACACCACCAGGGAGGGACCGAAGTAAGACATTTTTTTTAAAGATTTATTTATTTATTCAGAAGAACTGGGGTACAGGCCAGAGGTGCAGGGGCAATGAGAGGCTTCACCAGAGGCAGAGTGGGGAGCAGAACAGGCAGATCAACGAAGTACACTGCTGAGAGGAGCAGGGGGCGGGTCAAGAGAGGTCTGCCCGCCATGTGGGTCACCTCCCGGGTGGGGATCGAACTCATCCTGAAGTGGCTTTAGCTTCTTTGTGCTGTGCTTAAACCTGCTGTGCCACCAGGGAGGGCCAGAAGACATTTTTTTTTTAAGATTTATTTATTTATTCATATGGAACTGGGGTACAGGCCAGAGATGTGGAGGGTGAGAGGATTCACCAGAGACAGAGAGAGGAGCAGAACAGGCAGATCGACGAAGTACACTGCTGAGGGGAGCAGCGGGCGGGTCAGGGGAGGTCTGCCACGCCATGTGGTCACCTCCGGGGCAGGCGGGAATCGAACTCATGCGAAAGTGGTTTTAGCTTCTCAGTGCTGTGCTTTAACCCGCTGCGCCACCAGGGAGGGCCAGAAGTAAGACATTTTTAATGAATGTCTCTATTTGAAAAGTTAATCTTGTTTTTTGAATGATTCTCTCTGAAAATTATAATTAATATTAAAATATCTATCATTTTGTGAGACTGTCTGGTTTGTCTTTATCTATTGTTTTGTTGTGTTGTTACATCTCTTATAAACCATATATTTATGTTCTATCTTAGATCTAGAACTTCAAAAATGTAAATCAGACCTCTCTTTATTCTTTCATACTTTAATTCAGAATTCCTTTCTATAATTCTAAACAAGAAAAATAGTTATTACAGAATTTACAGGACTTGAAGAATCCTCAAAACAAAAATTGTTATATAAACAGAGGACACCAATCTCATCCTCATTTCTTCTTATTGTGTATAACATAGAAAGAAAATGAGAGGTTTCAGGAAATCACCTTGGAGATTTTATACAGCTTTCCTTTCATTCTGGTCAAGATGAATATCATATCAGAGGACTAAATTTCTGCTTCATAGAAGACAGCCAGGTAGTATGAATGATCTATGGAAATTTATCATCAAAAAGGTAAATCCATTGAGGTGAATTGAGCAAGATGTTAAAATGAGACTTAACACACACACACACAAATATATAAATTACTGAAATCTTCTAAGAACCATGTATTATGTATCATAGCTATAATATATTTCTTCTAAGAACTATAAATATGTGTGAATCCATACAGTCTTGATGGAAAACTTAGAGTAGGTACTTTATCGAAGGTATTGCCTGATGAGGAAACTGAGGCACAAAGAGGTGGTGTGTAAATTCATCATCATAATTCAGTCTCACCAGAATTTTGACTTGTTAGCCTGGTACTAAACTCTTTAGACATAGTGAAACCATTTGTTTTCGGCCCTCTCAATACATTGTGAGTACATTATTATTTCATAGGTTTATTATCCAGGCCAGGTCAAAGTTTCCTCTACTTACTTTCTCTTTTGTATGGCAGATTGGCCAAGGAGAAATGCACTGCTGAGAAAGTCCTGCACAAGGCTGGTCTTTCTTCCAGTTTTCTGAAACCCTCTAAAGACCACTCAAGGCTTCGTCCAGGGGCCCAAGTTTTCTAACTCCTCAAATTCCCTCTGCCTGTTAGAGCACCTCTCACAGGAGAGACCTCTCCGGGAGCCCAGAGCTGGTAACCAGAAGGAATGGCAGAGAGGATTTATTCCTGGTGCCCGCAGCAGTGGTGAGAAGTTCAAAGATGCTTTCATCTCTATGAGAAGAACTTAAAATATGTGAGTGTTGTATTTTCGCTCATGGGCAAGAGGGAGAGGAGTGAGGAGATCTGGGTGGATGATCCCCAGGGCTGAGAAAGGACAAGCTATAACTGTACTTTTATCATTAAAGAATGAGCGGGGAGAAAATCTGTTGAGCCCAAAGCCCAGTAGTAACATTTTTGGCCATCTCTCTGTGATTGCTCATTGTCTCCTCTATGTCTCTGTCCATGGGGCAAAATGATCTTGAATGAGAGTTTCAGGAGACTGTAGATGGCTTTATCACTACAGAACATGACTGCTGAGATAAATGCTGTTTCCTTGGGAAAGGGAAACTAAAGTTTTTCGTCTTCCCTGAGTCATCTTAGAATGACACTGCAGTTGTTTGAGGACTTCAAGAAACCATTTCTTAGAAGAACTTGAACCAGCTTAGCTTTGAGGTTCACCCTGTTCACCTTTTGCCTTTCCTCCAGCTATTTTCAAGACCTCCCTCTGTCCTTAGCTCTGGGGAACATGAGGGGTTCTCTGCCAAGACACCTACTCTTACTCCTGCTTCTCCAGATGTCCATGTGGAGCTCAGGTGAGAATATTTTTATATGGTCTATACCTGAATTTCTCCTTTCTCTCCCTGAACAGAAGGATCAAATCATTCTGCCACGTCTCAGATATGCCTGGATTGATTCTAAATCCTTTATTTTGATATAATGATTTATTTACCCATACATGAAAGCAAGTAAGGTATTATGTGAATATTTTTAAAGAAAGGGACCAAGAAAGATTACTTCATTAATATTTTCTAATTCATTCAGATCTCTGCTTCATGTGAACTGCCTTTTCTGATATCCAAGAGCTTCTGAAAAACTCCAATATCATGATTTCTCAGCACTCTTTCCTCCACTTTCACAGAAAGTACCACCATTACCATTAAAAAATAATTTGTGTAAGGGTTCTCCTTGATGGCACAACGGGTGAGGACGCAGCACTTCAAGCTAGCGGAAGAGGCTTCAGTGCATGTTTGATCCACCCACCCCCACCCACCCACCTACCCCCATCCCCCAGGTGACCCACGTGGTGGGCAGATCTCTCCTGTCTCTCCTGCGGCTCCCCTCAGCAATACTTCCTCTATCTGCCTGTTCTGCTCCCCACTCTGTCTCTGGTAAATGCTCTCACCGCCCCCACCCTCTGCAACTCCAGCCTTACCCCAGTTCTGTATGCATAAATAAATCTTTAAAAAATAATAATAATTTGTTTAAAATGAGATTGCCTTGTGGGTTTTCTTACTCGCTACCATCTCATCCTGAAGGAGGACTTGATAAGCAAATGTCCATGGGGCCAGAACTGCTGTGTTCTAAAGTACCCAGGCAAGTCTTCCTGATAGTCTTTTCACTGCTATTGTCTTAAACAGATTCATTCTTGGTGGTCGGACCCACGGAGCCCATCGTGGCCACGCTGGGCTCAGACACGGCGCTGCCCTGTCACGTGACCCCGCCCATGAGCTTGTTGAACATGGAGCTGCGATGGTTCCGATCGCAGTTCTCCGAGGCTGTGTTCGTGTATCGGAGTGGAGTGGAACAGACGGGAGAACAGCTGGTAGACTATAAAGGGAGGACAGAGCTGGTGAAAGACTACATCACTGAAGGAAGAGTGGCTGTGAGAATCCACAGCCTCCGTGTCTCCGATAACGGAATGTACAAGTGCTTCTTTAAAAAGGGCAGCGATTTTGAAGAAGCCATTCTGGAGCTAAGGGTGATAAGTGAGTAATGTCTGAGAATACAGATCACTCTGGGGGAAGTGCACCGTTCTGAATTTAATGTGGAGGGAAGAGAGTGAATAGGACAGAGACGAAAGGGCAGGTGTGCATGTAGCTGGTGAACATCCCGGGCACTGGGCTTAACACAACATCCTCCATCTACTTGCTCATTTCTGATCTGCACTTATTTAAAATTCAACTATTTGCATACAGCTATCAGAAAAATAGATATTTATTTTCTTTATGTCTCTCAACATACCTTCCTTTCAAAATGCCCCATTTCCCTCAGAGAAGAGAATCCCTGCTGGCTGCTATGGTGGACACTATCTCCCTGAAGTTAAGCAGTATTCCCCAGTGGGAGGATTGTGGCAGGGTGGACTGGAAAGGAGGGGGAGGGGGTGGGGGGAAGTTATCTTTATGGGATTAAGGTCAGAAAATAATCACTATCCCGCGGTGACGTGATGCAGAAGTAAAGACAAACAGCTCCCTCAGTGGTCTTCCTGCACCCATCTTTCCCTTGAACAACAGCTGTACATGGGTCCTTGGAGTCTGGTGAAACGTGCTGCAGCAAATCGCCTCCAGACTTAGACCTTCACTGATTAGATAGACATTTGCCATCCCAAAGCTTAACTAGAATCTAAGAAGTCAGTTTTCCCTTGTCCAATGGTGATTTCTTCAAAGAAAATAAACATTTCTTTACATTTTGGGTGACTCTGAATATTATATTTCTTTAACTTGTTGACATTTTTATTGCTAGAATAATATCATAACAAATTTGTATTATTCTTAAACCAAATATATAGAGATTGGATATTTTGTCATGTGCTTTTTACCTGTTTATATGTTTGTTTTCTTCTTTTAATTTCCTGTTTATGTCTTTTAATGAATTGGGTTTTTCTGAAAGATATATTTAATATTTTATTGATTTGTAGCTGCTCTTTTACATAAAGGTTGAAAATATGTCTCCTAGTGTGTATTTCTCATGTAATTTTATGTATCTTTCATATATATGTAGTCAGCATTTTCCCTGAGAAGTTTAAAGGAAACATTATTTTGTCTGGTTTTTTAGTTGTATGGAGCTTGTAGATGTATCCTTCCATACCAACGATATTTCACTTGCCCTTTTTCCTAGTACCTTCTCTGCAAAGTATATTTAATATAATAGTCAATCAGTCTTTAAATGTACTGTTTAGAGAATTTTCTAATAGGGAATACTTCTGAGAAACCAGTACCCAAACCAGAAACAGAGCTTAATCCAGAATTACTTTTTCCCCTTCCAATAACAATTTTGTCTTAAAATTTCACTATTTTGATTTCAAACTCATAGATTAATTGTTGCTGTCTTTGTGTCTGGCTTTTTGTTCACCATTCTATTTGGGATTTTCCTATATAGATAATTGCACATAACAGCAGTTCATTTTTGTCTTTTTTATTGTTTTGCTTTTTGCAGCTATATTTTTATAAAATTGTGGGGTTTCATTATAAGGTTTCATGGACTGTTCAAAATATTTTTTCTTCAATATGTATTCATTAATTTTTATACTATTAGCAAATAACATAGATAATCTCTACCAATTTACAGTTGCATTGTTTACCATAAACTTCAAAGTTGCCAAGGAAAATTCTGAATTCTCTGTATAGTTATAATGCTTTATCTTCCATTTTTTTGATAACACCATGCCATTCACATCTTTAAGGTTTTGTAGTATCTGCCAAGAAAGCTGGGATTTTTTGTTTGTTTTAGTTTTTACTGCAGTGTTTTTTTTCTTTTTTGGCTCTATCTGAGAAGATAGCTACATACTCACTTAAGTCCATATTTTGAACTTTAATACAGAAATGCCAAATCCATTAGAACTTTCTATAAGGAAAGATGACAAACTCTTATACCATATTACTTTGTCCCCATGTTAGTCTCTTCCTCAAAAGTGAAATAACCTTACACCTGTTCATTAACATATAGTTATAAGAGCAAGCTGTTAATTAATCTGTAGCCACACTTATCTTCCATTCAGTTAACCTTTGCCTGTGCATATGAAAGTCTTCCTTTTTTCCTTTGCTCCCTCAACATGAGCCTAGGGTTATCTACATGTTTGAACTTGGAACTTATTTGTTATATAAACCCAGGCAGTGCAAGGGCTAACTGGTCTGTTAGTTCCTGCTTTTTGGCTTTGATCTGCTCCATTTTGTTCAGAATGAGTTTCACTCAATTATATTCTTTTCTATCCACAAAAAGAGTTGGCAGCTTCCTCAGGCAATTCTGAGAAGATGAGTTGTCTTACAAACTGTATTGTTTTCCAGAAGCATTTCTCCCAGAATGGTCAGGTCTTGGTTGAAAAAACTATCATCTGTTTTATGATTTTTAGCCACCCCCTCCAAAGATAATGTAGATGAGATTCCTATATATTACAAACACCTGAGGAATTGGAGTAAGACAGAGACAGGCATAACAGAATCCATACTTTGAGATATGATGTTGTAAAAATACAATATATAATCTCAAAAGTCAGGAGAGCCACTATCTTTGAAAGGACAGAGGGCTCCTCCTGCATCTTAGTGACAGTCCACAAAGAGTTGAAGAAAAGAAGAGGCATGTAGGGAAGAGTATGGGATGAGGTAAGAAAAGTCAAAAACAATTTGATTCCTTCACAGAATCACTTCATCTCACTACTTTATCTTTTAGATGTTCTCTACTCAGAAGAAGAAAGAAAATTTGGAAAAGAAAATCAGAGAAAGTTTGTTTAAGGAAGTGGCTAGAAAATGTCTCAACTTAAGCATAGAAATAGATTGTTTCTTGAGATGCTAATAAAACAAGATAGACAGATAAAGACATGTAAACATAGAAATTAAGTGCTTCATCTTCTTCATTCATCTCCCCACACTGCTGTTTCTGTGTAACTTACCTCTCCAGGTCTGGGTTCTGGTCCTTTTGTTTCCATGGAGGGTCCAGAAGACACAGGAATAAGGCTGAAGTGCACAGGCAAAGGATGGTTTCCCCAGCCTGATGTTCAATGGAGAGATGCAAAGGGAGAGAAGATACCATCTCTCTTTGAGGCCGAGACCCAGGATGATGATGGGTTATATCAGATGGAAGTGTCCCTTATTGTCAGAGACAGCTCAAACAGAAATGTGTCCTGCTCCATGAAGAACCCCTTCTTTGGTCAAGAGCAGGTGAACACCATTTTCATACCAGGTCAGTGTTTCTCCTATGGAGGGCAGGCCAGGAGTATGAAGGGGAAATCGAAATATGGGATGGGACAGACTTGTTGGTGTATGTTTGTGATCAGGTTTTGTGGGTTCTGTGTCAGAACCCTTCTTCCCTAGGACCTCCCCTTGGAAGATAGCATTTGTATTGACTTTTATCATACTTGGGATTTTTGTGGGTACTGCTGTTTTCTTGGCTTGGAAAGGACAACAGAAAAACAAGAAATTGCAGAAACTCAAGAAGGAAAAAGATGAAGAAAAAGAAGACAAAGGTAAAATTGCAGTTCACACTTAGTATGAGCCTCAAGTTTATGGGTTTCTTAACATGACTGTGCAAACAGATAGCTCTGTTAGAACATAGAGATAGGTGTGGTACTGAGTTACAACTCATATTTCTAACAAGACATGGAATTTAGGCACTCTTTGAGAAAAAAAATCACAATGGAGTCCACTAGAGAGAAAAAAATCATTGATTGAAACTTGGAGATAAAACATTCATACTAATTCTCAACTAAGGTAAATGTCTTGATCATGTTGTATGGAACTAGTACTCAGGCTCTGGACTTAGCAACATTGTCTACAAAGTCTTGAACTTTGTTTTTAAAATCTGTCTTTCTATCTTCTTTACTTTTAGAGAATTTCAAGATGGAGCTTGGTAAGTTCTCCATTTTCTTTGTCCCAAACAAGAAATAGATCCCTTTATCCCTGCTGTGTTCTTCAAATCTCACAGGTGTTATTCCTTTTCAGACAAAAGGAAAGACTTATATCAACATGGTGAGTTAAATTAATATTATGGTTGAATCAGAATCTCATCTGTCTTCTGATCACCTCTTATTTACCTTGCTGGTGAGGATCCTCCTACCCCTGAATAGAATAAGACGGTCAGATACATAATGCTAAACACTGGACAGATGAGATGGACAAGTTTATTACATATATTCACATCCTAGGGTAGGAGGATACATGCCATGAAGGATACATGGGGTCACATGGAGCCAGTCAGGCCTGCAGGAGGCAGATTTAGTAGTAACAAAAAAATAAGATGCCTCCATTTTCTGTGAAAGTGAGTGACTTATTGCTTGTTTGAATAATTTGCAAGCTGATAAGAAGGTGGAAGCCACTGAATCAAAGATCAGGCTGGGTGAGGGTTCAGTTGACTTGGCAATGGGGAATAAGCTTACTGGGGAGCTTTTTTTGTTGGTTGGGGATATGTATATGTGAGGATAGAGAACACACATTTAGGTGTTTGGCACCCTGCGAGGCTAAAAAAATGTCAAAGCTGCACATCAAATTCTAGGATTTGCACTCTCACAATTGAAGATTATCTTCTTTCTCTCAAAATAACTGTACATACATGTGATAATCATACATTATCACAGATATGTTAGTAGAATGTGGAAAATATGAAAAATAGAAGAATTGCAAAAGAAAGCAATTACCCTCTAACATTGAGGTGATGAACCCAGAACTTATAGCACTATCATAAACTATCAGATTTCTTACTGTTTAGCAAATTCATACTCTGACGTGAAGGTCCTACTACGGGAAAATCTAATTCCTTTGTTTTGTTTTATTTCAGAATGGAGAAAAGCAGAATTATATGCTGGTGAGTAACTGGTATGGTCTTGGGACTTCAAGTGCCCCAGGACCTCATGAATAACTTCTGGGGAATTTTTTTCAGAGATGTGTCATCTTCTGGAGATTTAATTTTGAAGTTAGGAGTCCAAAAATATACAGGGGACATACATCACTCTAGGTCAGGGAGCACATATTTTCCATATGATTTTTTTTTTTTCTTTTTAGACTGGCGGAAGGAGCAGTTCCAACCTGGTGAGTAAACTTATGATTTTGATGCATCTTTTCTATGCAAATGAGAAACTTTTGCATTTGTATAAATTGCCAGTAATAACTAGTTGGTTATTCATTTCATGCTTGTTTGCACTTCTGTCTTAATCTTATCCTAAAATGTTAACAAATTTCTAATGGTTGTGAATATCATTTGTTCATTCCTTAAGCATTAGTTTATATAACTGCTTATTTGATGTCAAATAAATTATCTCTGACTTCACAGAAACACACATGCAAATTGTGACTGATATTATAATGGAACAAGATATTTCATAAGGAAAAATGGCAGATTAAAAAATTCCCACCAAAATTTGATATTCAATCTGAAGCTTAAATGATAACAGTAGATTTATTCAAGTAAATAACATTGAAAGAATAGCTCAAGGAACTTTGTTGTGTAACCAGTCTGAGCTAGAGAAGAGTTTGTTGTAATTTAGTGTAAGAGGAAAATGGTCCCTGCCCATCTTAGCATCTTTCCAGAATTGTGAGTTCATTATCAAGTTCTATGACACTTTACTCTGATTATCCCTATATCCATAGCATTTTTACTTAATTTAATCCTCTAAAATTTAATATAGATATCTTTTAATAACATATCCTTATATCTTAAATAGAATTTTTTTAATTTTATTTCTTTTAAACATCCTTGTTTATTTTTTCACAATATAGCATTCCTCCCCTCAGCTATAGTCTTGATTTCCCACCACCACAGTGCCAAATGTCCACCACATACCAATTCTTATGAAGAAAACTTCAATTATGGAAAATGTTAAGTTTTACAAGAAGCAAATAATCACAGCTAGTACTAATACCACTAGTCTATTTCTACTAGTATTGGTGTTGCTGTAAATGTTTGAAGCTAAAATTTACCAAATATTCATATTGAATAAGACATATTATGAAATCCTGTATACATGATCTCACTTATTTCCCCATAGTCTTATGTTAAATTATCACAATTATTACATCATAATGAAGTAAAGTGAAGTGTCATGTTAGAAGTTAAGTAATTTCATCAAGATCACAGCTAGTAAGGCTATAGTGATTATATCAGTAATAGATCTTTATAACTACACACCCAAGAATTTTCACCATTAGAAATATGAGTGTGTGAAAAGTGGATTATTAGTTATTATATAAGTCCACATAAAAATGATAACAACAATGTGTAAGTGAAATGAGCTACATTGGGGTGGAAATATAACAAGGCTTAATTATTAAGAACAAGCATTAAATTAGCAGACATTTGAAGGATAGAGGGACCCCATCCTGAAAAGCCTAACCTTGAGGACATTCATGTGAGACCAGCTCTTTGTTAGATGTCTCAGCCCATAACACAAGGACCTGACCAACCCTTAATTGACGTGGGAAGGATTGTAAATCATTTAACCTACTGTTACATTCCCCTCTCTCAATGGCTACATCCATTCTCCTTTACCAAAATTTGCATCTTTGTTAAGGTCAGTCTGTCCCCATTATGGAATGATGGGGACATTTTTCTTTTTCTGCCCCTGCAGTGGATGTTACTCTGGATTCACAAACAGCTCATTGCAACCTCCATATATCTGAGGATAGAAAACAAATTGCAATACAGAATGTTCCTCAGAACTCTGAAGCACCAGCACATCCACAACAAGACAAATCTGAAGACATCTTCAGTGTTCTGGGCGAGAATTGTTTTAGCCAAGGAAGACTTTACTGGGAAGTAGAAGTAAATTTATCTGGAAAAGTTGGAACTGGAGCTAGGTGGGCTCTGGGTGTTTGCTCAGAAACAGTGAAGAGAGATGGGTGGTTTGTAGAGAGTCCAGAGAAGAACTTCTGGGTGGTGAGCTACAAAGAGGGAAAAGTTTGGATTCCCACCGCCAATCCCGCCTCCAATCCAGTTCTGTTGCCAAGGTGTGTCCCCACAAAGATAGGAGTTTTCTTAGACTGGGAGGGTGGGGATGTGTCTTTTTATAACATGGTTGATGGATCCCACATCTATTCTTTCAGAGGAATAAGATTTTGTGGGATCCTCCGTCCTTATTTTAGCCTTCAGGGTGCCGGCACAAGTGTGATGATCTGCTCAGAAAAGCATCCCAATTCTTCTCCAAAGACCCCTGAGACTCACTTAACAAATTGTAATAATGATGTCCCGCAAGAAGTTAAATCTTTATTACCTCCACCAGAAGAGAAGTGTTAGCATATCTGCTCATCTGCTCATGTTCATGTAATTATACAATGTTCTCTAAGAGAGAAGCCGTGGTAGAGAGCAAGGCAAAGGCAATAAGAAAGAATTCAAAACCCTTCAAAAGGAGAGGCAGGAGAGAAAGGGACAAATGGAAAAATCTGGGGGATTTCCTTTAGTGTTACTATTGGGGAGAGACAGCACCTTTTTGACCAGCAACAATCTATCACAAGAATATGAAGGGCTATGAGGTGGACTGTGGGTGCCGTGATGTTGCAAGGGTGAGAATAACGGGGGAGGGAAGTGAAGAGGGAAGGAGTGCCTATACTTTGAAATAGGAACAGTATAAATCTGCATTACTTCTATTTTTAAAAAGAAAACTGCAAACAAGGGCACTCCCTGGTGGCACAAGGGGTTAAAGTACAGCCCTGTGGAGCTATACATAGCCACGACAGCACAAGTTCAATCCCCGGCCAGGGAGCTGACCCACATGGCACAGCAGACCACTCCAGTTTCACCCACTGCTCCTCTCAGCAGTGTATTACAGTAGATCCCCCTGTTCTGCTTCCCATTGTCTCTCTGTGAATCCTTTAACCCTCCCCATTTCTTGTTTGTACATTTGCAAATGTGAATGTTATTGTAAGCATAAATAAAGAAATCTTTAAAAAAAGAAAACTGCAAACAAATGCATAAAAATACATGGCATCTCTTGCATTCTGGTACTCAGTATATGTAGAAGTAAATATTTTTAATAATAATTATTCTTTTAATTGTGCTAACATGAAGATTTCCCCCTTCAGGTATCACCACCATAATGCACCCACCACCAGTTCACCCCATTCCACCACCATAGTCCCATTATCCATGGGTTTCCTTTTCCTTGTTCCTACTCCTCACACCCTCCCACTGAAGTAAATACTTTTAAGCTACATAAAAGAAAAAAAGTCTCCTCTTACTATTTTTTATATATAAATGTGAAAGAGGTTCAATGTTTAAAGGGGAGGGTCACAGTTGAGTGATTTCCTACCACTGATTTCTTACCACTGGAGATAGTACCACTCTTAACTAAACACCGAATCTGTTCCAGTATTTTGAGAGTTAATAGCTCAGCTTCTCAATTCCTTAAACTCAAGTGCCTATAAATTTCTAACTTTGTACTTTGGCACTGGGTGAGGAAGGCTAATAGCAATACACAACTTATAAATAACTATAAACAGGAAACCACTCCTTCTGGGATGGAAGAGCCCTTAAATAAATTCTCCCTAGTCAACAAGTTTAGAATTGTGTTCCTGTGTGAGTATGTGAATGAAAAAGGAAATGCTGTTGCAGTTTATACTTCAGAGAAAAGAAAATGTCAAATGCATTAGAGAACATGTCCTGTGAACACTTTTTTTTTTCTTTTCTTTCTGAATATATTCTCTCCACTTTTAAGGGTTTTCTTTGCCTTTGGTACAACTAAGACTTCTCTGACTACTTATATCAAGCGTATATTATCAGGACATAAAGTAAGGTTGTTCTGCTGAGTCTGTTCTTACTGATTATAAAATAGATCCATTAAGATATTTATACACTTTTGACAGAACTTTAAACCACAAGTCTTGTTATCAACCTTTATTGGAAGAGGTATGTCCCTAGTGCAATATCTCTGGGACAGAAAATGCAAAGTCAGTATTTGAACCCAGGAAGAATAAGTCCAGGCCCTCCCTAGTGGTGCAATGGGTTAGAACGTAACGTTGCAAGCTAGCTGCTGCTGCTTCAGTGCAAATTCATCCCCGCCCCCAGAGGAGACCCACATGGTGTGGCAGATCTTTCCCAACTTGCCGGATGCTCTCCTCAGCAGTGTCCTTCATGAATCTGTCTGTCCCACTCCCCACTCTGTCTCTGGTGAAGCCTCTCGCTACCCCTGCACCTCTGGCTTGTAACCCAATTCTGTATGCATAAATAAATAAATCTTTAAAAAATGAAAGAATAAATCCAGAGCCCAGAATTCATTGACAGTAAAGGTAGGGTTTATACAGCAAGCAAGAAATAATGAAGGCAAGAGAGGTAAATGAATGGTGGGGAAATATGAATAACTATAATAAAATGGATGCAAGGACAAATGTTTGGACATGAGAAACTATGTGTGGGAATAACAAGAAAACTAAAACGAGGGGGATTAGAACTATGAGAGAGAATCACAAGAATAATGAGTTCACAATCGAACATGTTATTTTTGCTTTATACGCAAGGCATTCTGTGTGAGATTTCCCAATGAGATTTTTTTTTTAAGATTTATTTATTTATTCATATAGAGCTGGGGTACAGGCCAGAGATGCGGAGGGTGAGAGGATTCACCAGAGACAGAGTGGGGTACAGAACAGGAAGATCGACGAAGTACACTGCTGAGGGGAGCAGCGGGCAGGTCAGGAGAGGTCTGCCTCGCCATGTGGATCTCCTCCGGAGCAGGTGGGAATTGAACTCATGCGGAAGTGGCTTAAGCTTCTCAGCGCTGTGCTTTAACCCGCTGCGCCACCAGGGAGGGCCCATCCCAATGAGATTTTATGTATCCTACAGATACTAAATTCATATATCGTTCCACTGCAAGATTTGTTCTACCTATCACATCTCTACTTATTTTAATTGTTTGTTGTTCTTCTAAACTTAGAGATTGGAAAGCATAAGTTGTAGGAGGACTCTGAAAGAGTGTGTGATGAATGTGATGACTGGAGTTCATCCAGAATCAGAGTTGTGGAAATGTCAGGATTAATGCCCCTCATATCCAAATATCTAGCTGTGGATAAACCAACAAGCAGTGAAGAATCTGCAAGTAATCCAAGGTTTTGGCAAAAAAAAAAAAAATGACCTTAAATTCATCATCTGACTTCATCAATTAATTCTCTATTACTGGTCTACCGCTTTCAATAGTGTTTACGAAAGAATGATAAGACAATCAAGATAGAGGCCACTAGAATGAAGAAATATTTTAGGCCAGTAAAAGCCAAAAATTATATCTTTTCCACATTTTAATTCTAATGTCTTAGCGTAGTGCATTCTACAGAGAAGTACTTAATAAATATCCCATTTTTGAATATATGCATGCATTAGACAAATGTTTATTCATCAACTAATGCTTGTCACTTTGTATAAGATTATGAGTATACACAAAAAAGTAAAGTATCATCACCCTTCTAGAACTTACAGTCTACTGTCAAATGAGAAAAAAGTCCGTGAGGAGAGTTAACAAATTTAGACTCCCTGCTTTTCTTTGGTCTTCCGCTTGAAACTGAGATGAATCCAACCCTTACTTTGGCTTTCACTAACTTCCCACAGCCAGATTTCTGAGGATCAGGAGTGAGGACACTGGATCCTTGAGGGGCAATCCAATTTTTCATCCATTAGCCACAGTTTCACCGTTTCAACCGGGGCATTTACTCAAGATGTCAGTCATTCTCAGTGGAATTGGAACTAGAAAAGTAAATTAATCCCCCACTTTGAGAAGCTAAGAAAGATACGTTCCTTGATAATGAAAGGAACTCACTGACAAAAATATACATTAATTTATACACAGGACCTGTGTAAGCACAAAAGATTAACAAGCAAACAGATTCGTTATGAAGACAGACTCAAAAAAATGACTAGAAAAGGACATTCTTCAGACATTATTTAATAAAACATTCTAATTACATTAAATCAAAACAGTAACATCAAACTAGAATATTTACTATTTATAAATTAACTTGTCTACAAAATAAAGGATATGTAAGAGTATAACAATGTAGCATAAACATATAAATCATCTGTCAACTCACACAAAATATATAACACAATAATGAAAACTGACTTTAGTTGAATAACATGTATTGATTCATAAGTTGTAATAAATATATCACAACAATACCAGATGTTAATAATAAAGAAAATTATGCTCATGTACAGAAGCAACGTGGTTATGCTCTGAAATTTCCAATTTTGTTGAAAATTTAAAATAGCTCTTATCTTATTATGATGAAATACCTAGAACAGGCAAATTCATGGACAGAAAAATGCATTACTGGAGAAAGAAAAAATGAATGGTGACTGCTTACTGGTTGTGGAATTTCTTCTGAAATAGTAAAAATATTCTGGAATAGACAATGATGATGTTTGCCCAATATTGTGAAGGTAGACATACCACTGAATTGTACATTTTAATATGTCTAGATGATGACCTTTATATATTTTACCACAATGGAAAAACAAATAAAATAAATGTTTGAATTATTATGGGAGAATAATATAGTTTCAATCATAAATTCATGATTTTAAAACTAGAGAACAAATATGACTGGAGATCAACCCAAAAAGCTGTAGATGAAATATCTTCAAGGAAGCAGTACCTGATGGCTGCCACCAGAGAGTGGCAGAGGGTAATTTGCAAGTAATCCCTAGCATCATTTAGTGAAATTCTAGACTTTTTCCAAATCTTTTTCTTACATTCATTCTTTGCTCTCTTCTTTGATTCCTATTATATATATATATATATGTATATATATATGTATATGTATATATATGTAATATGTGCATATTATATTTAAAGGTATATATGTGTAATGTGTACATATATATGTATATATACATATATGTGTGTATATATACATATATGTATATATGTATATACCTTTAAAATATTATGTGTTATCTTCATTTTCTGTTCATTTAAAATTATAAAATATTGAATTCTGTATTTTAGTTTGCACTAAAATTACTGACATTTTCATATACATGATACATAAATAGTTTTTCTTTTATACTTGGATTTCTTAATTTTTTCCAAATTTCATATTATCTATTAGCTTTTTGAAAATGCAGGAATTCTATATTCCATGTGATTTTCAAGTTATATATATGCACATATATTTCTTTAATATTTATGTAAACATACAAGCACTGGGATACCAGTCAGGGGTGTGGGGGGTGGTGGGTGGTGAGAGGATTCACCAGAGAAAGTGAGGAGAAGATCAGGCAGATAAAATGAAACACACTGCTGAGGGGAGTAGCAGGCAAAACAGGAGAGGTCTGTTGGGTCATGTGGGTCAGCTCCCTGGCCAGGTATGGAACTCGTATTCCAGTGGCTGTGGATAGGTTCACAGTGCTGCCCTTTAATCCCTCACACAACCAGGGAGGGCCCCAAGTAAAATCCTAATGACCAGACTTTCCCCCTTACATTCAGTTGTACGGTTGCTTACTCTTTTTTAAGTACATTGTTTCCTCATCTCCACCTGGATAATAGTCACCTTCTAAAAGACAAACTCATCAAATACTTAATCATCCTTTCCATTTGCTCCTCAAGGCAAACTGGATTCTTCACTGGATTTTCTAAAAATCTTTTGTTACCAGATGTCAGACTGATGGTAGGTAGGACACCCAAAGCCTGGGATGAGAGACTTCTGACGGGATCAGTGTGCATGCAGATCAAATGTGAAGCCAGTGTGAGGTTTGAACACTCCTGATTTGCTACCTAGATAATCTCAAAATTATCTCCTCCAACTAGCTGGTGGAAAGAGAAAATAGCGAGATTCATAATACAGAATGGCGAGATTCGTAAAGGAAAACAAGGCTGTCTTCCTTAGAGATGCTGCAGAGGCTCCCCTGGGTACAAGAAAAGTGTCAGGAGAATCTACAGTAGGAGACCAAAGGAAGAAGATGCATAGAGTTCAGAGAAGAAAATTCAAGGGATGGTGATTTCTGGGGACCAACTGGTCATGTTATAAAGGAGAGACATCTAGAGGCATAGTCGGGAGATTGTGAGTGGGCCTGGAGATGTCTACAGGAAGAGGAGGTTTGAAGAAATTATGGTGTGGCACTTGTTTCCATAGCCAACCACTGCCTGAAGTTACTCTCAGGGACAAAGAGATGACTCTGACCACATGACTTTAGCAACACCCAGGGGCCACTCTCTCCAGCCCAACCTCCACCTGTCAATACCACCTCCAGACATGAATCCTACATCTGATGCTCGGAGCAATCTCTCTGGGATAATTGGCTGCATGGATGAATATCCATGGATCACAATATTGTTTCCCTCAGAAGAGATCAGCTCTGAGTGAGCTTTTTTTGAATACATTTGTTGTAGAAAAAAAAAATTCATTGAGATAATAATCAACATGGGGCTATTTTTATGATATAATAAAACTATTAACCATTAATTTCATGATATTGATATTTAAACAGGAAAATAAAAGTTGTAATGATGTAAAAAAATTAAGATGGAAGAACTTTTTAGGGCACGTGAAACAGTTATGTTATCAAAGCATGAGAAGTCCTTATCAGCAAAACAGTAACCACCAAAAAGCAAGACACCATCTTTGGCTTTTTTTTATTGGTTAAACTTTTATATTTTTTAATGTTGTTGTTAATTTTCATACAACATTTTATTTCTACCCTCCAGTGTAGTCTCCAAGGTTTTCTCCCACCACCACAGTAATCATGAGACATCATCACAGTCTCCTGTGTTCTTCTCTCTATTTTTTGACCCCTCTCCCTCACCCTCCCCTGCTGTATGACTCGAATCTATGGTCAGCTTGCAGGTTTTGTTTTTTTTTTTTTCTTCTGACACATTGTTGGTTTCTCCATATTCCATATAAATAAAATTATTTGATATTTATCTTTTTTCCTTCTCACTTATTTTGGCTAGCATAATCCTCTCCAGCTCCATCCATGAATTTACATTTTTTGATCACTGAGGAGTATTCCATTGTGTATATATGCCATATCTTCTTCATCCAGCTATCTTTGGGGGGAATTTAGGTTGCATACATATCTTGGCTATTGTAAATGGTCTACTATAAACATAGTAGTGCAAGTTTCCTTTTGAATTATTGTTTTTTGCCCTTGGGTAGATTCCTAGGAGTGATTGCTGGATAACCTGATAGATTCATTTGCAGTTTTGTGAGGAAACTTCACACAGCTTTCCACACTGGCTGGACTAGGTGGCATTTCCACCAGCAGTGGAATGCTTCTTCACCACATCCTTGCAAACATTTGTTGTTTTTTGTTTGGTTGGTTGCTTTTTATATGTGCCATTCTTACTGGTGTGAGATGGTATCTCATTGTGGGTTGTTGTTGTTTTTTTTTTTTTAAGATTTATTTATTCATACAGAACTGAGGTACAGGCCAGAGATGTGAAGGGTGAGTGGATTCACCAGGGCCAGAGTGGGAGCAAAACAGGCAGATTGACGAAGTACACTGCTGAGGGGAGCAGCGGGTGGGTCAGGAGAAGTCTGCCACGCCATGTGGATCTCCTCCGGGGCAGGCAGGAATCGAACTCATGCGGAAGTGACTTAAGCTTCTTAGTGCTGTGCTTTGACCAGCTGTGCCACCAGGGAGGGCCCTCTCATTGTGGTTTTATTTGCATTTCCCTGTTTGGGTTGATTCCATGTCTTTCCTATTGAAATAAAATAGCAATAAGCATGGGGCGGGGTGGGGGGCACCATATATATTTTTTTTAAAGATTTATTTATTTATGCATAAAGAACTGGGTATAAGCCAGAGGCACAGGGACAGGGATGGTGAGAGGATTCACCAGAGATAGAGTGGGGAGAAGAACAGGCAGATCGATGAAGTACACTG